TCTGGGAGATTGGGGTTTGGCTCCTCTGTGAGAAAGTTTTTTAAACTTAGTTGTTTTTTTTAAATAATCTTCAGTTTTTAGTCGCAGTTTGGTTGTGTTTAGGCAACAAGACTATTTGGTTAAGTTTAGGAAAATGTCATAGGTTGGGTTAAAATAGACCTTTTAACAACGTTAACCACAAATTAGAGCATGGGCTCCTGGCCAATCCCAGCGCTTGAATGCTACACAGGGTGTGTCTTTGGGATCCATAACAACGCGGTCACTGAGCCTTTAGCATGGCTGTGTTATAAGTTAATGTTCCGCGTCTGTTTCTTTTAAGGTCTCTTTTCTCTCTCTTAAGCACTTTGTAACTACTGTTTTTAAAAGTTCTATATAAAGCTAATTACTCACCGGAATATTTAAATGTGTATTTCAGAATATATATTCCAAAGGAGTCGTTTCATAGTAGACTGAACATCAAATAGTGTCCTAAATGTAACTTCCATACAGTCCATGAAATGCTGGTCTGAGGTCAATGAAGTGAAGCGGACACATTCTTCAGTTGGGCCCCAAACATGGACAACCACACTGCAGCGGTGTGCCTCTTCATCCTGACTATGATGTGATTTAGATACTTTTTATAGGATGATATGGAAAAAGTGCTTTTCAGATTTCCCTCAGTGTGAGTCTACTCACCACAGCGCCCTCTATATATGACAGCGTACACCTTTTACTTTAGAGATTAGAAATAAAGTGTGTAGGCTGTCTTTATGATTTGAAAGCTTCACCCTACAGTTACCCTCTTCTATAATACTATAAGAATACATTTGCCTAGACTAGGCTAAACAGTTCCATCTACTGGTCAACCAGAGTCATTACATCTTTAAAAAAGTGACCCAATAACCCAGAATAACATTAATTCTGAAAACGATTATTCATTATTTCTACTGTAATAAATAAGCAGTAGGCTAAGTGAGGTTCATTATTCATTCTAATTCAAAATCCATTATTGTTTTAGAAGGTAGAAACAAAGAACCACAGAGTGGAGTTGAATCATCTTTCTGCTACTTTGAGGAGAGATTATTTATATGAAGTCAAAAATGATCTTTGAACTTCCACTTTTAAGCTATCCATCAAATTTAAGCGATGACATTCTATACCTGAGAAATGTATCCGTGATATTTCAGCAATATGGAGGTGAATGGTTTGTTTGTGATACAGCATTAAAAAAATATAGGTTTAAAAACTTGAACAGCTACTCTAATAATCCACATCCATATATTCTACTCATGCTATATAATATAATATAATATAATATAATATAATATAATACAGTGTTTGTTTGCGTTTTGCAGGGTGTGATTCCGTGTTCAACCAGCAGGCGGCAGTCAAACTCAAACTGAACTCTTCCTCTCTCTTCCTCTGAACCCTTCCATGTTTCCTCTTCCTCCCACCTGTTCGCAGACTGCCAGGTGAGTGAAACTGAAACTGTGGACTGAACTTTAAACAGATTCAGTTTGCAGCACAGTGAACACAACGATGCGCCATCTTTGTTTTTAGGAGGTGATATTGTTTTGGGAATTGGCCAAGAGGCTTTTCATCATGACACAAACACAAACAAACTTCACTAACTTTCAGTACAGTCAGGGTTTATTCATTTCAAGCAGCATCATATCCACAGCCTGGAATTCTTTTAAAAGGTTGGGAATTATTCCAGGAAAAGGAAAATCTGCTGAAAGCCTTAAAATCAGTTTCAGTTTAAACAGGCCTAAGGGACCAAACAGGTGTGTTCACTGCCAGTCAGGGGTTTCACTGTTAACATTTACTAAAGCGTGTTGGAATGTGGTTTTACTTTAGTCCAGGCAAACACTGATTGTATTAAATTTACCAAGGCTGTCACAATTAGCTTATCATATATGATCATTAAGTTACAGATTGATGTGCATTAAGCCTCATTGTATTCCTACACACTGATAAAGCAACAGGAACACATTTTGAATGATGGAGCTTGGCAGAAATGTTTAGTAAAGTGGATAAACTGTGCAATGTATGTACTGACCCAGGCTTTCTTACAGCACCAAGTGTCTAACTGACCATTTAAAGTTACCTGTAAAATCTTAAAGAGGGAGCTTTAATTGTACAGTGTTCATTCAGTGTATTATAAACTACATTCAAAATAAATGAAACCTGCTGCCATCATGTGGTGCACTGCAGAATATAATGTGATTAAACTGCATTACCTCTGTAGGCTAAATCCTGTTTGAGATAAAGTGAGCAGCACGCACAGAAAACAATTACATACAATAGTAAAGTTAATAGATAAAAAGTCAATAGATACTCGGTTTGCGCTCACAGTCTCTCACTGACTGCATTGTCTGTTTTCTGAAGGCTTTACCTCAGACATTTGCAAATTGTATTTAACTTGTTTGTTTACAGCAGCCTGCAGTCTTCTTTTTGTTTATACGGGTCATATATCTATATTTCTGCTCTCTGAAGTTGTTTATAATGCAGCCATACAAACAGAGCAGTACACAGGGTACCTTCATGCGACAAAACAAACTGTTAGTTCAGTGCAGTTTCATATAATGAAGATAATATTACGTAAAGAGCTGTATTATGACCAACAATGGAGAGAAAGTAGGCGCTCCTGCTGTGCAGGTATAGAAGCTGTTTCACTACTTGATGCACACGTTATCTGCTGTCTCTCTGTGCTGCAGCAGTGGCTCAGGCGCTGTCACTGTGAACCTGAACCAGCGCAGCCCAGCTCCTCAGGGTCCTCAGTCACCATCCCATGTGGCCACAGCTACTGTTTGAGCTGCCCGACAGACTACAGGGACCGCCAGCGAGTCTGCAGCTGTGACAGTGCAGCGCCAGCTTCAGTATGGGTGCTGTGAACCCCTCTGTTCCTCCTTTGGACCCTGCCTTTAATGCGTCCTCGGTCCACCCCGAGAGGACTAATGGAGAGGTGAGGACTCTTCTAGTAACATTGATTCCTAAAGGTTTATTAAGGTAACATTTTTGTTGACACGTGGTTTTATTCTGTCATGTTGCTGTTTCTGAGACATCTTGCAGAGCAAATCAAAGAGGCAGAAACAAAGTGTGCAGTCCTTCTGAATGTTACAATGCATTTAACTGCACTAACTGCCTGCTCTGCTTTCGCCCCCAGTGCATAGTAGATATGGAGTTGTTTTATGAGCTTGTTTTATTCGCTAAAATATTTATGTACTGCCACCATGGGGTTGTGTCATCATGGTCTTTGTGTCAGTGTGTGTGCTGACACACCCTTAAGAACACAATAACAGAAAAACAACACGAAGGTCCTCCTTTACTGAAATGGTTTCATCACATTTTGGGTCAGCACACTGCATATTAATACCACTAGAGCTGAAATCATAAGGAGATTAATCAGTTAGTCAATTGAAAGTAAATGAACTGGCAACAAACTTCAATATAATTGAATTCCTTTAAGAATCATACTTACTCTTGTACATACAGTAAAACAGACTTTGTAATAAAAGTACAGAGTATGAAACATACTTACAAACTTAATAACTTGACAGACATTATTATGATAGTGATTTTGTTTGTGATTTTATTGCTGAAATGTTAATCCTACCTGTCTATAGACATCCTCTCTTCTTTTAGAGATAGTACAATACAAGTACAAAGCAAAAGTTCCACAACAATGATCTCAATAATTGTCCAATCTGAACTTGGTTCTCTTTCTGAGAGTCTCTGGAGCGCTGCTCTCCTGCAGCCGCAAACACACCAGCAGCTTTTTCTCAACAGCTGATTCGCCTCCTTTCTTCTGTTTCATTGTATTGTTTTATCCAATTTTATCCTGAGGGATCATCCAACGAGTGCAGACTGGGACACAACTCTCCGTCTTCCTTCTGCCATGGAAACGAGGTGCAGGCGGTGGAGGTTCCACCCAGCTCGACGTCCTGCAGGACCAAACTGTTCCTGGACCACCAGGGTCCGCTGTGCTTCTGTACACCTGAACATCTGAACATCTACACGCTCATTAGGTCAGTAATTGAGTGTTTTTAGTAAAGTAAATGTTGCCCAATAAAAAATATAGTATAATATAGTATATAGTGTAGTTTATTATAGATCATTTCTAATTGGCATTTTTATTATTTTTGTAACCTGAACTTCAATATTTTTATTGTATGTGTTTAGTTTTTTTTATATAGCCTCAGAAATGAGCTGTCAGTCAGGCTCTAGTACTGACAGTGTTCCTGCACTGATAGCTAGTTGGATATACTGTATATTATCAGTGAAGGCTGGTAATACCTCAGGGACTGATGTGTTTTTGCCAGGATCAGACTACATGACATCAGTCCATTAGGCTGTCATTTTATCCTGTGTAGTGTGGACAACAACCAATGTTATGTCTGTTATAATATATAATATGTTACTAGTTGGACATTTCCGACATGATCTGGTCACCATGGTTAACATTCAGGTGTCAGGCCTGAAGTGAAACACTGTCAGCTGGGATTGGTCTGAGTTTAACATCTACCTCAACTGACAGTGACAATTACAACTGCAGTGTCACGTAGTCTGATCCCTGCAGTGTTCAGCATACTGTAGATATAGTTTTGAAATATATAGCTGAGATTTCTGCCTCCACCCCAATACTACAGGAAAATGAATTTTGTTTGTGGCGCTGATAACATAAAAATGACTTCTAGAAAATTGACAGCACCTCTTTGCAAAAACAATGTCCCTGCTTCTCTAACCAATCCATAAACCTCACTGAGGACTTTTCACTGGAACTACTTTCTACAGGAAGAAACCGTCAGTAACCAGGCCTTTGTTTCTGTTAAGACTTGCTGTTGACTTTTTAAATGGTGTACAACCACAAACTAAATTCCTTTCACTTCCATTGTTTGAGTAAGAAGTAAACGTCTAAAAATCTGGGTGCCTCGTCGATCAGTTCATGATCCTTACAAACTGAGGACAAGAACACTACATTTGTTTCCATCTTCTTAAATCATACTCCATGAGACGTTAGCTTCAGTGCAAGAGTTGGATTTTATTATTATTAACCGTTGACATAATCAGCAGAGAAACAAAGCGTTTACGAAAGACAGAAAGACACACTGGAATCAGATCTTGTTGAAAGCTGCTACGTCGACACTCTGGATCTGAAACAGAGCAGAAGGAACGGGGTTATTCTCCAGGCTCCCTCACACCTGGGGAACGCTACTCTGATTTGTGTTGTACAGTAACTGGACAATCCTTTGTTTCAGCCTCATTGTGACCACATGATGGCAGCAACGTGCTGGCAGTGACTGAGAAGAAGATTCACTGACTTGTACCAGTTAATTAGGTACGCCAAGCTAAGGGTAATGCAGGCTAGCACAAGCCCTGCAATAAATGTTATCATGAAGGGTACAACGTTCAGTTTTTTATGTTGACTCAACTTAACCGAAAACAATGTCAACAAATACTGAACATCATTATCTTCGGGACTTATTGCAGGACAGCTGTATAAGACCGCATTAGATTTAGCTAGGTGGGCCTAATTAACTGGGAGCTGAGTTTACCAGTCAGGATATTTAATTTGGTTAGGTGTCTTAATATAGATCAATACAGTAAAATCAAGTTCACACAGACACTTTAAGACTATTTAAGCTTAGAATAATGTTAACTGAATGTCTTCACAAAAAACTACATAAACACTGAATTTGTTTACTCATTCACATAGTCAGTGGAATTGCAGACTACTTTTTAAGACTTGCAGATTCCCCGTTAACTCACAAATATCAAGATAGTCAATTCCAGATGTTTAAAAGTGTGTGTGCGTGTGAGCCCTTTGCAGGAACACCAAGTGTATTGCACAGTACTTACATAGTCTTCAAACTTGGTGATTTCCTCCTCCAACATGTCTGTTCCCACCTTGTCGTCCTCCACCACACATGCGATCTGGAGCTTCTTGATGCCGTAACCCACAGGAACCAGTTTGGACGTGCCCCATAACAGACCGTCAGCCTGCACCGAGCGCACGCACTCCTCCAGCTTCGCCATGTTGGTTTCATCATCCCACTAAAAAAAGGCAGGGGAAGAGAGCTGTCAGTCTCAAACTTATACACAAAAAATGTATTCAGCTTGTTGTTATTCATATTTTCAGACTCTGATGAATGTGGAGTAAATCAGGACTTACAGGTTTGACATCCAATAAGATGGAGGACTTGGCGATGATGCCGGGCTTCTTGGCCTTCTTCTCTGCATACTCTTTCAATCTCTGCTCTTTGAGTTTCTCTGCCTCTTCATCATCATCATCACTACCAAACAGGTCAATATCATCATCGTCGTCATCATCCTCTTCCTCTTTAACCGGGGCGGAGGTCTTCTGCTGGACGGTAGTTCCCTGAACAGAGTAAAAATAAGCACATGCTCACACAGAGGTGGTGACATACTGGAGCTACAATAAAACTGAGACAAGATGATGGAGTTGATAAAAGCGGTTGATCTAAACTCACATTAGTGTAGGGAACTGAAGGAGTGGGAGCCGGGGTCACAGCAGTGGGAGATTTCTCCAGAACGGCCACACGACATTCCAGTTTGGAAAGAGCAGCCCTCAAGTCATCGACGACTAAAGAAAGAGGACCAGAGTCAGTGAGTGTTTGTACAGGAAGGGAACACATACAAAGATAAATGACAATAAACAACAAGCCACGACAATTCATTGTAGCATTTGTCTAGTTGAGTATTTTTGTAGTTTGTTGGTCATATAAAAGAGCAGTTTTTAGACAAGTTGGCTAAGTTGGCTCAGGTTACATGTGATGACCATTTGTCAGCCTTAACATAGACAGACGAGGTGATTAGGGCTCCAATTAATTATGCAACAAATATTTCCATTGATCTAACCTTCTCAATTAATCAATTATTTAGTATATCAAATATATATATATATAAAATAAGGACAAATCATCCTCATAAGCTGCATGCCAGAGGAGTCCTCTTGCAATTGCTGACTTTGAATTACTAACAGTTTCAAAAATGTATTGTTTATAATTATAAAGAAAAACTGAAAAAACACTTTTGACAAATTACCTAAAATTGTTATTTGTCAAATAAAAAAGCCAAAGTAATTGTGACAGCACTACATTTGATTATTCTGAATTGCTAATGGTGGCTTATATAATACCCACACAGTCCCTGAGCACACTGAAATAGCCTCCACACAGGTGAACAAAACAAATGCATTAATATTTGATCGACGTCAAACCAACCCACCTTTGTGTAAGCTCTGGTTCTCCAGCTCCAGGCTCTTAATGCGGGAGACGATTTCTCCTTGATCAGCTGCACTGCTGCTGCTCTGCACAGTAAAGACACAAAGAGAGTTTACTGAGGGCAACATCCAATGGCCCAAACAGTGTTAGTCCTTTCATCAAACCCTGTTAAGCAGACTTTGTATGTTAACACACAACACACAGCCAGCGTCCATCTCAGCAGCAGAAACACAGGAGCTGTAGATGGAGCCTGATAGAAAGTGATAAGCAGCTACTTGGTCTGCAACACTCCACACAAAAACATCTACAAGCGGAGGTAAAGGTTGAACTCAGGAAAACTCAAACTCGAGCGGGGGGGTGTCAGCGAGGGGTTTCCCAGGGAAACACAAGGCTTGGCGGCACTTACAAGCTGGGACTGTTGGCTGGAAGGTTGAGCAGACCCTCTGCTACACAATGTATTCTTCAGCTGGGGGGGGGGATTTAAAGCATGAAAAAGGGAGGGATGGAGGAACAGAACAGAAGCTGAAGGATTGCCACTGAGGAGTGTGAAACAGAAAGCAAACTGACCAAAACCCTGTAGGGCTGGCAGGTTATGGAAGATGGCAGAATGAAGGCAGCTACTGTATGTCCACACTGACACTCATGTCTCTGTAGAGGAAGGATGGCTTCAGCTGAACACCAAGCTTCTACCTAAACTATTTTTATCAGCAACACTATTACACTATTTAGTTAAACCTGTCAGGGGAACCATAAAAAGAAAACCTCTAAAAACTTCTAAACTTCTAACCTCTAAAAAAAATATAATGTCATTTTAGAAATACAAAACATGATTTAAGGCACTGGGATAATAATCTTCCTAAATGTTACGACTCAGTGGTGAAGGAATTATATCAGTCCTGCAATTAGGGGAACAATACAAACTTAAACCTACCACTTCAGCTGGACGTTCACTTTATTTTATTCACTTATTTTATTTTTTATTCCTCTTAGATTTATTTTAATTTAGTCTTTTCTTCTTTACATATATTTTAGTTTCTAGTCTAGCTTGTATTAAATTATTTTATTGTTACAGCTCTTCAATCTATTTTATCGTCTTTTTGTCTTTGTTGTATCGTTTTTTTCTATTCCACCAAGTTTGTATTCCCCTCTATTACAGCCTAGACTTGGTCTGTCTTATTATCAGCTTGTCAGTCATTTTAAAGGACTGCACTCATCTGTATGAAAGGGGCTATACAAAATATAAAAATGAAGTTTGATTAAAAGTCATTACAATCAGCAAAGCACACTATGCTGAGCAGAAAGAAAGAAATTGCCTTTCACTGAAGGTTTCTCATCGTGTTTCATTAATCCGATGTTCAGGCCATATAATAGTGACGTGTCAATGTGTGTACAAGAGGTGTGACCTTAGCTTATTTGGGGCTACAGTTTGCTCAGACTACACGTTCAGTACTGTGAAGATAAGAGGCAGAGTCGGCCCACAGCGTGTACTTACTCCTGCTAGAGATTTCTGGATGTTCTCTCGGGCCCGAGCAATGTCTTGCAGAATGGTGTTAGCTCCAACGTCCTTAAAGAAAAATAATACATGTCAATGTAGATCCATCTTTTACTTTATTCATCCTTTGCAAAGTTTCAGTAACACTAATATTGAGAGACTCAACAGATTCAATGTGTCTTTGTAAGCTATATTTTTTTTCAACCTTGTACATTAGCCCTCTTCATCATATCATCATAAAGTGCTTATGCAGAGTGGATAGACTGCACCAAGTTTTTAAATCTGGTCAATGTAATATCAATACAAAAGAGAACTTGAAGAATGAGCACAAATACGGTACCTGTGATGGTTGTGAGGAGCCGTTCATTCGCTCATAGAAGCGTCTCTCTGCCTCGTCATAGCGAGGTTTGTCAAACCAGATCTTCTCCTGGGCCAGAAAGTCCACGGAACTCATGTTTCTACAGACGAGAGCAAGGAAGGACAAGAGAGGGATGTATGAACACGACACAGGAGGTCAGGGAAAAAGGAAAAAATAAATCTTATTACTACTTATAATAATTATGCTTAAATCACTTTCTATGTGATCTATATTAAATACATCTTACATTTTCCATCATAAAATGGCTTATTTTATGTATTCTTTTATCTACACTCCCCACAAACAGACCACCCCAAAGCAACTGTGCAACAGAAACGTTAAAATGGAGTTCAATTGGCAAAACGCAACAATGGTTCATACAAACAACAGTCATTCTGGAAATGTTGAAACAGACCTCAAGGAATAAAGAATCGATGAACCAAGACAAATGAATAAGAGTAATGTTCAGGCACTCAGAAACAATGGGGAAACACATGATTACGTAAAGAAAAACAATGAAAGGTAAAACTGAAACATCTGGAGCGGCTCCATTCTCCCGGTTTGGTCATACTTGTCCCTCATTGGGGCGGGGGAGGTAACCGATGCCGCTTCTGGCCGCCGGCCCTTCTTCGCCACCACAGCTTCACTCCCACTGTAACCATGGAAACGGCTCTCTGCAGCATCATACCGCCATTTGTCCAACCACACCCGCTCGTTGTCCGGGTGCGCAAAGTAGCAAACTCCGGCCCCCGACTCCTCTTCCTTCTCTAGGACCTCGGCCGGCTCCTCTTCCTCCTGAATAGGGAGCAGAGCGTGGAAGACTTCTGCTTTACCCTGCGGGACCACCCGTTTTTCCTCCACCACCACTTCCTCTTCTTCCTCCTCCTCCTCTTCTACAAGGCTTTGAGGGTGGTCACTACTTCTGGAAGTGGAGGCGGAGCTGGAGCGTTTGGAGGAATTGTTACCGTACAGATTCTGGTAGAAGGCTGCTTCGGCGCGGTCATACAGCGGTTTCTCCAGCCACACATCTCTCAGCAGCTCCACGGGGATGCGGGGCAGGCCGTTAATCGACTGTCGATTGGTTGGCGTGACAGCTGCTTGTTGGGCGACAGGGGTGGCAGGAGTCGGGGCTAGAGACTGATATCCTTCGTCGGGTGTTCTGGGTGCAATGGCGCGGTTGGGCTGGGCTGGGATGTCTAGAGAATTTGGAATGGACGGCGTGGATGCTTCTACGAAGCGGCGTTCTGCTTGGTCAAAGGTGGTCTTGTTCACCCACACGGCCTGGACGACGTGGTGGCACGCCACCTGATCACCGTGGTGGCACGCCTGTCCTGAGGAAGATGGAGCCACAGTGGACGGAGACTTTGAATGTTTCCCTGGGGCTGGGGGTGACCGGTTTGACTGGGTGGTCCCATTGGAGGAGCTCGCCAGCCAACACTGGTAGAGGCTCTCGGCTCGCTCGTAGATGCTGCGTTCAAACCACACACTAGCACACTCGGACTGCAGGCCAATGAGCCCGGCCCGGGGGTCAGGCGGCTGGCCGGTCCTTTTGTCTGGCTTCTCTTCACTCTTGGTCTTAATGTCCACCTTCCCCTCAGAACGACTCTCGGGATTGGATGATCGTTTCTTGCGACGGCGGCTTTTTCCGCTGCGCTTTCCATCTCCGTTCAAGCTGCCGCTCTCTGGGGATGATGACGCCGTCTCTCCGTTTCTTTGACCTGATTCAGCCTTCTTCCTGCACCCCAGTGCTGCATTTGCGGACCGGTCCACCTGACAATTGCTGGGAGGCTGATCGTGCTCTGACTGATCCACTGCAGAGCACTGGGGGATCTTCTTAGACATCATCTTTGATCCGTTGCAGGAAGAAAAAAGAAGAGAATAACAGGTACAGGCTTTTGGATTAGTTAGAGAGACACAGGAAGGTTAAGAGACAAAAAGGGATTGATCTATTAGACAAACAAACTGACTGTTATAGAGTTGTATGTATGATAATACACTACAAAACAGAGTCTACGAATCAGTCCCAGAGAAACACGAGAAGCATGCAGGAAATGAGAAGAAAACCATGCAGATGAACACAAGTGTTTAGTGAATGGAATCAACTTCAGTGAGATTTGTCAAGTGTCAGTATCAAGTAAAGAATCCTAATGAAGCGAAGCTCACATGGTATAAACTCAAGAATTAAGTAAGGGACAATTAACACTGACTTTCATGCTTTGACAGACAAACAGCAGGAAAGTCAGTGTTAATGCCAGCTGGAGACTGTCTAAATGAAGCCAGAAATTAAAAATGCCAGTTCTGATCTGAGCTGCAGTTCCTGCTACACAATGATTTCCCAAACAGACAAACACCACTTACACTTTACACACGACCAGCACTGCTGGTAGACATGACTTGGGTTTGCCGTTAGTGGAACTTGGACAATGATTGCTTTTAAGTACAGTTTTTGCAATGAAAACATACACACAGCTATATTTAGCCAGACAGGAAGACGCACATATCATCATGCAATGTATTTGTGTCCAGCTTGTTCTATATGCTTTAAAGTGACACAGTAGAGTTCTGCAGTGCCACTGTAACACTACAGCCCATCGTTATCACGCTCATCCTGCGAAGGCATTTACCAAAGGTACATTCAGGCAATGTCTGTGAATGCAATTAGCATAATGTCTTCTGTTTAATTATGTTTTCATAAGATGCATGTAAGTATCATGGCTCTTCAACATTATAATGTTCTGTTAACTGGTGCATTATGTCTAACCATCACTTCATTTTGAGCCATTTTCTCCATAACTTTGTTATGAAATTAAATTCCATTTCATTTTGAACTCTAAAAAATTGACAAAAGACTTGACAAACCATGACACAATCACACAAGGACATACAAAAAAAGAAAAGAATGTGACAAATCAAAAGGCAAAATACTGGAGCTTAAAAATCACATGCTAACCTTGATGGATCTTTGAAAAGCACTGACACCATGCAAGAAAACTCATCATCAGTACTGACATTGAGGTTTTGCTCTTTTAACAAATCACACAAAGCTCAAGCCATGCCATTTTCCTGACGTTACGTTATTCTGTTGTAATACAGGAAATGCATTCCCTTAATGTTTCACCATGTGGATGTTAGTAATATTATATTATTATATTAGTAACACTATTGCACCACTGACATAGACGTGGGCACTGCTTTGGGAAGGCATTTCCTGCTTCATGTCTATTAGAAAAAGCTCTCGACTCACCTTCCTCGGTAAAAGGTGTTGAGCTTATATTAGTATGAAAATCAAATGCTCAACACGTTCTTTTCATCCAGTTAACCGCAAGCCATTAAAAAAAGAAAGTGAACAATCACCACCTTGCAAAACAGTGAAGCGGATACAAAAGGGTTTGGACAAAAGAAAACTCAAGAACAGGAGGCAAATGTCAGGGTTATACAGAATACTCACTTGTCAAATTCTGAATGCAAGACGAGGGGAAAGAAGCTACGTGTTAAAGATGTCTCTAAATAAATGCCTCTGATATCAAGCAACAACTTGGATGCATCCCAAAGCCCCCCCTCCCCCTCCTCCTCCTCCCTACTTTATCTGCTTTTCTCCTCCCTTCAAATGGAAGCCCCTAGGGACAGCTTAGTTTCCTCGCCATCATCAAAAATGAACATTTTCTGTAAAGCTTGTCCTACCAGAATGCAACATTAGGAGTGTTGTTAAAGCGTCGATAACAGCACTCTTGTATGCAGACTGTATGTGCCAGATCTCTCGGCCACATTTGATCATTTCTTGTGTTTTCTTTAGGGGGTTATTTTTAGGACACGCCCCTTCTGATGCAGCTCTATTGACAACCAGTGTATGAACTATTTTAGATGGACTACACCAAAACCAACAATGTGGTAGTGCCAACTCTCAATACTTTGCAACTCCTCTAATCGAAGCCGAGCCTTGTAGGTTTTAACAAATGCCTTTCAAAAACAGAAGGAAACAATGGACTATTTTAAGCAGCGTATTAATACACATTTGGCGCTCTAGTAAGTATTTCTGGCAGCAGGACGGTGTATGTGGGGACTGACTAAAAATAAACCCGTGTCCATGTTAATTGTAATAAAGGAACGAGTTTGACAACAGTTGAGCTGTTCGGCAGATACGTTACATTAGGCTTACACTAATACTTCAAAAACATCATATTGAAATTATTGTGACAGATATTACGTCACGATTAGTGTGGGAAATTAAAATCATGATGATGTGAAACTTGTTGGGGTCTGTACCCAACAAGATTATGTTTTCTTACACCAGATTAGATACCAAGCTATTTCTATTTCCTTTCCCTCGGGATAAATAAAGTATCTATCTATCTATCTATCTATCTATCTATCTATCTAGTTGCCGACATACATATAAAAATACATATCCTTTAAGTGCTCACTTATTTCGTCGTGCACATATGAATATTTCTGCAATCTCATCATCATATAACCCGTGTCAAGTGTCCACAACCAGTGATGCCAATGTAAAGGATTACCATCCCCACAAGGAGATCAATTGCAGGGTCAGATGCATTACAACACCCCAGGAAGGGGTGGGGTACAGTGATTTGCTCAAGGGCGCTTCAGCAAGACAGACTTACCATTAATACAGTCATTTTATATCATTTAAAGTTTAAATCTAATTCTCCCAAGAGCCATCCTCAAGCACACATCTGAACTGTATCAGTTTACAGTACAGTTACAGATAACAGGCTCCTCTTAAAAAAGGACTTTACACTTGAAAACTTTCCCTAAAAAGATGATAAATGTATCATAAAGAAAGGTCTGTCGTACAGGATGTTACACAATAAAGAAGAGAAGCATTAAAATCAGCTGTCCCCATCCAAAGGAGCTCCCTGCTAACCTCAACACTACCCAATCTGTCATGTTCAAGCAGCTAGGACAAAACAGCAGGCGCTTAGCATTTCATTTAAAACACACCAAAGCAACCAAAATGTGACCCCTAAAGCTTTACTTCTTCCTTTCGGTCGTGTGTATATAAATACATATAATGTCAGAATATAACAGCGGCCATTGGAGCCGGTGTCCAGCCGGCGTGACATCCGCGTTAGCACTAGCAGGCTGCTAGCATCGGCCAACACACGTCGAGCTCGCTGCTGCTGTTCATGTTCATTCATCTTTTATCTCCACTAAACGTGTTTAAATGAAGCCCCGCATTCAGCCCCGCACTGAAACCCCCGGCTGTCAGGCAGCGGGAACCTTACTTACTGCTGTTTTCTTTTGTGTGTGTGTGTGTCCTGTCGGTGCGAGAAACCAGGCCGGTGGATAAAACGTGTGCTTCTCCAGCCGTGAGTGAGGAAGAGGAGGAGGAGGAAGAGGAGGAGGAAGAGGAGGAGGAAGCAAGGAGCAGCGGGGGTTGTGTGATCTTAGACGGGTGGGGGAGGTATTATGAATCATTAATGTTGCCCCATCTTTAATATCATGCATAGTTGACCCTCAGTGATGTGAATATACGTTAGAAACTGTGACCTCCAGGAGTTTAGTTAGTTTAAAGCTGCAGTAGGTCATTTTATTATTATTTGCACTGTTTACTGTAGATACCGTTAATTTTATATATGATATATATAATACTTAATATTTTATCTTCTATTTTATTTTTAATTCTATTCTTAAGGTCAGGGTTTTTTAATTTTAGTTTAATGTACATTTAATGTATGTTTTGTATTTTGTATGCTACAGGATACTTGAATTTCCCTCGGGATAAATAAAGTATCTATCTATCTATCTTTATAAAAAATACTTTTTGTCATATTTTTCATTATATCCTGATAGTATTACATGAGACAGATAATCTGCGAAAAAATCTGCTTCCTCTGGCTCTTCATTGTGCTCCTAATGGCATTTGGAAAGAATCCACCAGGGCCTGAACGATGACCAATCAGAGGCCAGAGAGATAGTTGATTGCTGAGTCACATTCCCAGGATGGATGAGATTCAACAATCAGCTAAAACATATTAATATATTTTCTTGCAAATGCCATTAGGAGCACTACAACGAGCCAGAGGAAACAGATTTTTTATAAAAGTTACCTACAGCAGCTTTAAAGGACGACTTCCTGCACTTTCAACCTTTGTCCCAGTATGATAAGCTTTTACTGTTTATGACATCTTATGTGTTGCTGTAAAACTTCACACATTTCCCCAACTCTTAAACCCAGTAATGTGACAGACAAAGCAGTGGCAAGAAAAAAACCTTAATTTCCTTAAAACAGAAATCAAATTCTCTTCTGTTTCAGAATATATTTTCAGAAATTCAACTTTGAAACCTTTGAAGCTATTGTTGTTTTTGCTCATGTTTGCATAAGATTCTTCTCTAGCCAGTGAAAATATAACACATGTAGTAGCAGTTGTGGAGATCATGTCAGACTCATTACATGATGCTGGGCTCACTCTATAGGTTGATCCAGAAACATGGTGAGATTAGGACTGTAACTAAGAATTATGTTCAATATAAGTAAATCCTCCAGTTATTTTCTGGATAAATCAGTTAATGGTTGGTAATTAAATGGTTAACAAAACAAAAAAAGGTGGAAAATTTACCCATCACAATTTCCTGAACTCTAAAGTGATGTCTTGAAATTGTTTTTCATCCTACCAACAATCCAAAACCCCCAAATATTCAATTTACAATGATATAAAACAGAGAAAAGCAGTTCCATCTATTTTTCTACTGATCTGTGTGACTTCATATCGCCTCTAGTCATTGAGAATTTGAGCTTCAACTCAAAAAATAAGTCAATGCACAAAGGGAGCCGGTTCACATTATGACACTTTATGAAAACCCATCCTACACACTCGGCATCGTAGATCATGAATATTATTTCTCAACATTGTGTTATACACAAAGCCAGTAAATACTGTAGATGTTCACTACACCTGGGACAGAAACTATCAGCAGCTGCACAACCACGATCACTCTGACACTATTCCAAATTTAAGTTTTAAGCTTCATTTGGCCAAATATTAAATACTATATTTTAATATAATTAAATACATCCACACATTTCACTTCCATCCTGTAGTCCACATTACATGCACATAATATACCCAATCATTGCTAGTAAGGCTTTAGTAAGTTTAAACAAGTTGATTCTTGGACTGATCGATGCTACAGAGTAAAGTCTCCCTCCCCCACCCCAGCCTTTATTGAAGTCTAACAAGGCCTTCAATAAATGTGCCTAAAATAGAATTACTGTGCATCTTATTGTGATTACAATATCCACAACCACAGGAATAATCTAATTTGGGCGACACCTTACTTGCATTACTGCCTTAGTGAGTAAAGACTGGATTATTGGTGTGCATGTAGAAGTAGCCATTCTCTCAAATAAATCACAGGCTCATGATCGAATAATTTACTCGTCAATGTCAAGATTAAGACAATATTTCCTTTTTGCTCACAACTAATCCCTCCGGTCAAAGACATGAAAAAGAGTATGAATGAGTATGAACTGCACTTAAAAAGGGAAAAATAAAAGGGAGAAAATGAAATAAAATAAAAAATGGACAAGTCTTTGTCTTTGTGTTCCATTGTGATTGGTTGAGCCAAAAAGTCAGTTTATTGTTAGGCTTGAATAAGGTCCACTGAGCGGGTATATAAAGGCAAACAGCGGCCGTCATTTCCTGCATGCTGACTTCCGGCCGAGCTCCCTGGCTCTCTCGGTGGCAGATTCCACGGCGCTCATGGTCGACGCCCTCACACCGCCCTGCTCCAGGGTGTGAAGCCCGTAGATGGTAGTTCCACCTGGGGTGCAGACCTCAGAGCGGAGCTGAGCCGGATGCTTCCCAGAGTCACGTAATAATCTGCCGGCGCCCTGCGACAGATGGAACAGGAACCAAATTAATGACGGTGGGCTCAGGCATTGTGCTGGCATGCATAAAATGTGAAAGAGTAAAGAGTATTCTTAGCAATAATAAAATTGCTGATGTCGCCACAGTGAAGCGAAAACTCGCACACAGTGAAACTGACCAGAACAGTTTGAGATGCGATGCTGTGTGCCAGAGCACTTGGCATTCCCATTTTAACAGCTCCTTCTGCCAGCGCTTCAGCAAACAGATACACCTGCAGAGAGGGATCACATGCAGCCCAGTCAAAATGTGCACAAATTCTGTTTTCTTTCTGTTCCACAAAAAGAGAAAAGGGCACACAAGCGTGTTTGTGACTTTATATTACTGCAATGTACACAATTTCTGTGGTATCATATCAGGATGTTGTACCATTTTATTGTGTTGTGTTAGATTTTTGGAAGTTGCTTTGAATTCCTTTAATTTCAAAGACTTGAAACTTACTTTAGGACATTATTTTGTATTCTGTACAAGTCTCAGTAAAACACTGAAACAACGTTTTATATTATATGATTAGATTCAGTTGCTTAAGACAAAATTTTCAAGAAATACAGAAAGATGGAGTTTGACTCTGTATTAATACTCTGTAGACAAAAGCAGAGATTCAGTAAGATTCATTGTGATTATGAAAACTCCTTACATTGGTAACTAAATATAAAACTGGCCTGAATCTTATTATCAATCAACATTAACTTTTTTGTTTTGAGGAAGTCTTATTACAATAGTCTGCCAGCTGTTACAAAGTTTTCCTCCGAAACAGAGATGCATCGATTGGGAAATTCTGGGCCGGTACGATGCTTAAAAGAACAATTTATTTGTTCATTATTTTGTGCCAGGGAAACAAAGAAATCTACAGAGATAAGCATCTCTGGCTTGATGCAGCTGAGTCTATTCCTCTTCTCATCCAAGATGTGAGAGGCAGAGCTGAACAGCTGCTGACTGTCTGTGCTGCTGCATGGAGCACATCAATGTTAGGTTGTGATTTGTGCCAGTGCTGGAGAACAGAGCTGACTATTTCTCCAATCTCAGAGTTAGAAGGAACCAACACATTTAGTCAGCGTAACTGCTGACGAAACAAATAAACATCAGCCACAGGCAAAGTCAGTCAACAAGGCGAATATCGGTGCATCCCTACTGCAAACCACACAATCCTGGGACACTCACAAAAGCGACTCCACTCCCGCTCAGTCCAGTGTGAATGTCGATCCAGGACTCAGGTCCCTCCTCCACCAAACCACAGCGGTGCAACAAGGAGCGAAGCAGAGCTCCATCCTCCTGTTTTGCATGGGACCCGCGCGCAAACAGGAGAGCCCCTTCTTGAACCAAACATGGGAGATTTGGCATCAGCCTGATGGCAACTGAATTCTCCGGCAAGAGCTTGGGATTGAAAGAGACAAACAGAACATTGCTCATCTTTAGATCACCAAGGAACCACCATTTCAGAACCATTACACATGGGCTAGGGCACTCACCTCTTCCAGTGTTGACAGCGTTACTCCTGCTGCAACAGACACAATTATGTGTCGGTCAGTGACGTGTTGTGAGACCTCATTGAGAACGAGTGGAACCAGGTGAGGTTTGACGGCTACAAAAACCACATCCGACCCACAGACCACCTCTATGTTGGAATGAGTGATGGGAATCCCGAGCTCCTGAAAGCCAATGGGAGGGATGTTACAAACGTTCACCTGCATGTGAAGTCCATGCTCACAGGTGAAGAAGAATCAACAGCTCACCTCGCCTTACTGACAAACAATAAATAAAACACAGCATGCAGAGGCAAACCACAGAGAGAGGCAGGTGTAAAGTTAGGAAATTAGATCATTTGTGAACCCAAATTTGATATTAATTAATGTAAAATTAGCATCAAGTAAATGTAACAGTAGGAATCAAAATTACAGGTTGTTGCTCAGGTCAGTTGGTTAAAAGCACCCAGAGCTTTATCAGCAGGCTAGTGACTGTGTTTTAGTACTAAGCTGCCTACAAACACTTAAGTTATTCTTTTGATTAAAAGAGTCACTGAGTCAGATTTCCCTCGAAATCAATTTAACACGATGGTAGAAACACTGCCACTTTTGTCCACAGGGAGGCCAGAATCAACAGAAAAGGAAAATTCCCCGTTGCTAGTTTTAAAAAGTTGTATTTATTTTTTTACAAAAATATTTGGATGCACTTTGGTTTTGCCAGTTCAGCACAATGTGGTGTTATCTGTGCACACAACGTTACACAGAAACAGAACAAGGTCAGCATTACATTGGGTTGGTTTGCAGGAGAACGACCCATTTAACAAGGAACCTGATCTTACAAACAGTAACCGTGATCTTACAGTAAAAAAGTACCTGAAAGCGTCCCAGGTTCCTGGAGGATGGAGCGCTCACTTTGACGTTTACAGGAAGAACATTTCCTTTATTGGGAACACACACACACACACACACACACGAGACTGTTAACATCTTTACTTAAACCCCCTCTGCTCTGTTTCAACCACTCTCTCCTGACTGACTCACCCGTCAAGATGCCCTTTGCGATGCCGAAGGCCATGTTCCCCGCACCAATAAAACCAATCTTCAGCTGTGAGTCCATCTCAGGGTCCATTTTGATCTAAAGGAAAGAAGAGAACAGATTTGAATGGAAACATCAACATCATGCTAACACCTAAAGACTAGGGTGTGAATCACAGGACAACCTACGACACAGTACTGTCATGACACGGTTCCCACGGTAACAATGGCATCACACATAATCACACATAAACATCACGATCTGTTATATAGGATAACACTGCGAGACAAGTGAAGCTGCGACCATTCGTCAACTGACTGATTAGTCGATCGAAGGACGATTATTCAGCAACTATTTTGAAAATCGAGCATCATTATGAGCAATAGTTATTTTTCAAGCAAACTGGTCAGTGGTTTCACCTTGTCAAATGAGTGGAGTTGATTCTGTTCTTTGTGAGTATCTTTGAGTTTGGGACTGTTGAATAAAACAAGCAATTTAAATACAGAACCTTGACAAGACAGAAATTATAACGGTAAGGTTTTATAGACAACACGATGAACTGAGAAAACTGTCAGCAGATTGTTCGCTGATGAAAATAATGGTTAGATACAGCATTAAAGACAATTAATCAACTATTATGTAAATAAAATATCAAGAATCAGTTATATATTTATCAAATGTATTGAGGTGCTTTCAGTTTTGCTGAATTTTACAGACCACCGAGATAACATATGTAACAGCGTGCACAAGCTAAGCTTTTAACAATAAAGCAGCAGCATGTACTTACTGTATGCGCCACAGAAAATTCAACCTAACTAAAAAAAGCTGAACTGCCATGGAGAACATCTCCAGACCCAAAAACTGTCTGAAGCAAAGGAGAGAGCAGTTTACTGTAGCCATCCATTATCCTCGCTACATCCCAACACTACAGTAGATATCACAATTGATCAATCAACGTGATTCAGTACTACTGTGCTGTGTACATAAAATATGTAGTTTAGGGATTCTTGTATCAATAACACGTTGTCGACGGTGTCCACATGCACACAAAGAACCTGATTAGTGTGAGATAAATCAAATTAAGGCAAGAAATCAGACTGCTGCCAAAGCGTAGTGTCCCTGTCCTGGGTCTTTTTGTCATACAACTGCAGCTTTAACCCGGTTAAGAGTTTACAGGGCCAAGAAAGCTGGTTTCTGCAGCAGAGAAACCTGCTGGTAAATCAGATTTCTCCCTTGAGCTTGTAACCTGACGACGTTTCAGAGAGCGGGTTACTGCTAAAAGCCGGGAGTAATCAGATTTCTGAAATGCATCTACATTTGGCAAAGAGAACGCACCATGGTATTGGTATCAGCCAACGACACATATGCTGGTTCCAGTTTGTCCAACGTGAGGAGTTGCTGCTTTTCTGTTTTAAGTTATTGGAAATTGGGATTTTGGGCTGTTGACTGGCAAAGCAAGTACCTTGAAGACGGCACTTTGGGCTCTGAGAACTTGTGATCGGCGCTGAAAAAAATGCCACGGACTGACAGATATGACTATAAAACAGACTGTTTTTTGTACCAAAGTAGGCCATATGTTACTGAATGAATTATTTTGCACACATCCTCTTGAGACCAACTACACTCAGTCTACAGTTTATTGGGTCAGAGGTGAAAACGAATGCAGCTTAATACAACAGACCTGCAATAAATCCTGCCTTCATGAACGTTATAATCCTCAGTTCTTGTTGAAACTGCACTGATGGTCATTTTGGAGATTGTAGTTTATGGTGCTGTTGACTTCTCTCAACTCTTTAAAGATTTTACAAAGATTAGATTCAAGCATTTTGAATGCCACTTGTTTTCTTTAAAAAAAAAAAAAAGGTCCAGTGTGTAGCATTTAGTGGGATCCAGCAGTGTAGTTGCACATTACAACTGCCTTGACTCAACTCAACCTATTTCAAGCATGTAGGAGAAACTACGGTGGCCTCGAAAAAACAAAACAAAACCATCTAGAGTCAGTATTTTAGGCTACTGTAGAAACATGGCGGCCTCCTGCTACCTCTGAAGATAAGAACAGCCCTTTTTTAAAAAGGTAAGAAATACACAATGATTCTTATTTTGAGCCGATTACACACTAATGAAGACATACATATGGATATTATATTCAATTTCTTCCAATAGATCCTCCTAAATAATACACACTGGACCTTTTGTATGTCATTTGCGTGGTGTGAATTTCTTTGACTGAATGTTTTTTCTTGTACGCAGGCACTTCCATCTCAATGAGACCAGTTTAAAGAAAGGATGAAAAGTGTTAGACAAGCATTTGGGTGGGCAGAATATGAGAAACTTCTCTCTCCCTATTGCAAAACACAACACCACCACACACACCTCCAAAATAAGAGTCATGAACGCAGGACTCCCTGCAGGTAAATGAGTGTTATTAGAAACAACCCAGAGACATGTTCACAGCAAGCACACGGTTGTGGGGAGGGAGGGACGGGGGGGTGAATGAATGAATGCATGCACTCTGGACCAACACATGGAAGAAATGAAAACCATGATCTAATGACACATCGCATCCACGGTATCACCCCTACAATTAAATCCAGGTTCTGAGAGGAATTGTCCGGGCAGGGCTGCGGCCAGTGCAGCATGGATGCTTCTCCATCCGAGTCTTCAGTCACTTCATCGTTCCTGTCAGAGTTGACCCCAGCTCCGACCAGCGGGTGTCTGGACTCCATGATAGCGACCATAGTCTTCTCGTACCGCCACCAGCCCTGGATCTTGGTGGGGGCCGGGGACTCGGGCTCTCTCTTGCACTTGTAATACGCACTTTTGAGAAGTTTCCAGCGGAACTTTAACTGGTCCACGGACCTGTGGTAACCGGCCGCTGTCATCCTCCGGTGGGCCACCTTGAACAGTTTGTTGTTCCTCACTTTCCTCCCGTCCAAGCACTTCTTCATGTCCAGCTCCTTGAGGATTTCCAGAAACAACTCCGTCTCCTTCACGTCCCAGTTCTGCTTCTTGATGCCGGACTCGTCCATTGTCGTGGCAGCGTTAGCCTCGTTAGCTCAAACGTCAACCCCAACGACCGAAATTTCGCCTACAGGTGGTGAAAACGGAGCCGATAAAATGTTAAAAAGCCTGCCTTTTGAAACCCACGCTATCAGAAACCCTAGCCCCCCTGCTGCAGCATCTAAACCCGGGATAACCCGGGATAGCTCGAAAATAATCCAGGACAGATTAGATTAGAAACACAATGCACGTGTTTTCGTGTGGACTGGACAACCATAAAATAACACGGAGTGACATAACCCCGCTGTGAATAACACCGGCTACCGTTGGTGGGAGGATATTTATTCACCTGGTGGTTTTGTTTCTGATTTTCTGATGTCCAGCGTTTTGTAAAAAAGCTCAAACTGTAGTTTAATTTAGCTCGGATTCACCCGGAGGCATCCACACACCGACCGGCGGAATTCCAGCGAACTATCGGTGGGTTTGTTTTTCACTCCCTTTGCTTGCGGCGCCTGCAGCCTCCTGTCAGCCACACATTCCGCATCATAGGGTTCCCGTTTCAGCCGGGGTGTATAAATCAAACACACCCACACCTACACCCCCTCTACTGTGCGTCCCCCCCCCCCAACAAAAATGCGAGTAATCTCATTGGCTGCGTGCTCGTGGTATAGGGCGGAGAGCTGGTGGATTTATGTGTCATTGTGATCAGCTGTGTGTGAGGCAGCCGGTGCCAAAGGAGTTACCTGCGAAGTCACACAGGTACATGGTTCACTGATATCAGTGTGTGCGTTAGAGAGCAGTTAGTGGCACGATAGTTGTTGTTTTGTTGTTGTTTTGTGCACATGTTGCTGCAGCAAGTTGGCGTTTTGGATGCTTTTCTAATGTGTGATGAGTTTTAAGTTGGGCTTCTCTTGTTTCCCGTTTTCTGTTTCTGCTCCAAAGAAGGCATGGGTGATACTTCATGTGCATTCTGCTTCAGAGTGCTTTAAACAGGCGGAGATTTAAAGGAGCTTTCTGACTGAGTTGAATTTGTATATTTGTATTTTTGAATCAGATTCTGTTGTGTGTTTTCCCTAATGCGTAAAAATGAGTCTTTTTATGGTGCCCAAACGATGCTTTAGTGGTGTACAGATATAAATACTGTGTGGGAGCTTGTGCAGCAGAGCAGACATGCCTGGGCAAGCCTCAGTGTGGTCTTCATTCAAACATCTGAATGAATGAACGTTTATTTGTATTATTGTGTCGTGCATACAGCTATATGTATCCTGCATGGACTGACAAGACGCCACATATTAATAATATATTCCAGATCCAGAATGTTGGATATACATCTTCAATTAATCAATCAATCAATTAAACATATTGGCTGTGTTGTTGTTGTCGTCCTCTAGCGAGCATCCGGGATATTACACCTTCTGCAAAATTTTAGCAGGAGATCTACACCACCAAATAATCCGATTCCTATCTTTGTTTAACTCAAAGTAAAAGTAAGTATATACTGTAAATGTCAGATACTGTTGTAGAGGGTGTGGATCATTTAATATCACTCACTGTACTGGGGAAATGGTATGTGAAGAAGTAGGTAGACCAAATACTATAAGTTCCCTATGAGTTTTATGGCACTTAGTCTCTTTAATTTCTCTCTGTAATAAAAAGCAGATATTTTGTTAAAATGCTCCTAATGGCAAGTAAAAAATTGTGATGAACTGGGGAATGCTAGCTTCCCTAAAACAGGGCCAGAGGCTAGTTTTGTTTTGTAAGACTGCAAAAATACATTATACAAGACCCAGAATGGTGACATCCAGTCTGAGCTACAAATGAATCCATCAACAAGACTACATGAACGCTGAAAAAATGTGGATTTATCATCTCTGGCCAATATAAAGTGTCAAAATGATGCATCGTTATTGTGTTTCGGTTGCAGACATGGTCCACCTCCTGACCCACCGCCTGTGGTTCCTGCTGATCAGCGTGCTGGCCTGTCAGTGTCCTGCAGTCAGCGGGCTGTTTGAGTGGCTGAAGCAGGCAGATGCACCTCCAGCAGCAGCAGCACCTCCTCCAGCAGCCGCGGTCCCAGCGCTTCTCGCAAAGGATGCTCTGTTTGAGATGGCTACTGCCGATGAGAAGTTTTTGGCTGAGGCAAAGCATATGGAGATCAGCCCGTTAGACAGCTGTCATTATAAGGTAAAATTCAGCCTCTGAGCCTTGAAATGCATCTCTGGACATTTTCACCAGATTGGACGCAGTAGTAGTTGCCATAGTAGTCTCTCAGTAGCACTGGTCCACTATTGGTCCACTGGTTTGTCTTTAACATTTGACCTCCACTGTAGGTGGTCGCCCAGCTGAAGGCGAGCTGTGAAAGCCTCTCAGAGGAGCAGCTCGCGAAGCTTGGAGTCGTTCTGTTTAACTGCCAGTCAGAGAGTGAGGGGCGCCAGACCTACCCGTGTACAGAGGAAATGGTAAAATATAAAGTTATGATAAAAAGAAAATATTTTTTATCGATAAGGTTTGTGTGTTTGGTCCTTGTGGAGCTCTTTCTGATCTCATTTCGATGTTTCAGACTATAAAAGAGTGTACAGCGGACATGGATTCAGACACTTGGAATGCTTACCACATAGTGAGCAACAGAGCGCGCTCAGTCTGCTACGCAACTCGCCAGCAGCTCTTCAGACGCAGAGCAGAGCACACTGTCAACACTCTCATCTCCACAGCCACAAGCCAACTCGACGCAATGAAGGACCTGAAGGTAGACTTGTCCTTTGCCCTTTCATCTTCATGCTCGGAGTGGGCAGTGAAGGATCAGATCCTGCATGGGTTGATTTTTCTGATCGTGGTGTTTTGTGACAGGATGGCCAGCAGGAGCTGAAGGAACTGACTGCAGCCTCCTTGGAGAAGCTGCTGGACGGCCACAGTGCTCTGCAGGCCCAACAGGGGAAACTGTACGAGGGCCAGGAGCTAATGGACAGTTCACTGAGGGACAACCTGCAGCGTCTGGGCCAGGAGAAAGCCCTCATCGCCTCTGGACAGGAACTGGTAGCCCAGCTCATTCAGGGCATCACAAACAGAATGGGTGAGACAGACAGAAACACTCGGTGTATACTCAGCTAACGTCACGCTGTCTAGTATCATAAAGTGTCAAATATTTATAACCCGTCCTCCCTTTTAGAGAACGTGAGTGAGAATCTGCAGATCCAAGGCTCGGAGGTGCAGGACAGCCACAAAGCCATTGTTAAAGACCTCGCAGATGTCAGACACCAAGCTCAGGACATCTACCAAAAAATTGGTAATCCAAACAGAGCGTCACAAATCCAAATTCATCAGTTTTAAAAGTTTTGGATCAAATCAGCTCTGTCTTTTTATGTCATCCCCCTGTGGCGGCTCAGATCACAGTATGTCGGAGTTCCTGCAGTACCAGGACCAGACCTCTCAGTACTACTCTGACCTGATGAACAAACTGGAGCGCATGAACAGCACCCTGGGCTTCATGCTGCACTACCTTGATAACATGCAGGGCCGGATTGAGGACAGGCTTCACATGATCCAGGGCTACCTTGGCTGGGCAGGTGAGACCCTCAGCGCAGTGACCACATTTGTCCAGCTTGGTCAGCGCTTCTGCTACAAAAGAATAAAAAAAATGTATGTTACAAAAACTGTTTAGAATTTACACTTCCTGTAGTCTACATCCAGGTTTTATCCAATCCAGGGCTGAAATGATGAATTGATAGTCGTTGCTATAAGCAAAAATGCCTCCAGCTTCTCAAATGTAACAATATTATGCTGGTTGGTCAAAACAAGTCATTTGAATACATGTTTTGACTCAGTTTCTGACATTTCATAGACTAAACAAATATCGATTGAGAAAATAATCAGCAGATTAACTAATAATGAAACAATCATTAGTTGCAGCCCTTAAAAAAATCAAAAGCAGATCTCAGTGGAATCCCAGGATTTTATTAAGACTGAGGATTTATTGAATGCTTTTATTCATGGATTATCAGACACAGGAAAATAAAAGAATCCAAAGGCTAACATGTGAAAGTGAAAACACTTTTAGATAAAGAAATATAAAGTAACTTCCACATCATAAAACAAGGATGGCTAAAACAACAAAATCTTTGAGATTACTTTTGAGACATTACTTTTAATCTAATGGCCAATATTATATAGATGTAAGATAGAAACTGTTCAGTTGAACTGGAAGTGTTGTGGTAAGGAACCCCACAGAGAACCATTAGGAAGACCAAATCAACCAAAGATTTTCTTTTCTTTCCATGGATTATGTTTACACTGCGCTTTTTGTGATTACAGGGTTGAGCCTGACGGCCATGTGGTCATGCATCGCACATACAGGCTACTTCGTCCTGTGTGCCGTCCTGCTGACGTTCCTGCGTTGTCCCGGTTTCTCTCGAGCCATGTTGCTGCTCACCGTGCCTCTTAATGCAGTGGCCGAGGTCAACCAGCAGCCGGCGCTGGATCTGACCAGCCTCAGCCTGCTGCTGCTCACTCTGTCTCTGGGTACAGACTGAAAGCTGCTTACAAGGAGAATACAGCATCTCCAGTATTCTCTTATACTTGTCATAAGGTTTTTATTTTTTCGTATTTGCAGGTCACTGGTTTGTGAATCAGTTGTGGGCCTGCTTCCAGATCAGAGGAAGGCCAGCTGCCCCGCTGCCACTGGCCCCATGTGAGATTGTGGAGCCACAGAAGCAGCCAGTTTCATCCTGCCACTCATACCCACCGTCCTCTACACCGCAGAAGTGAGTCTGCAGAGTTCATTATATACTGTACAACTGCAACTAATTATTATTTTTATTATTGACAACCTGACCATTATTGTTTTGTCTATAAAATGACTGGAAATTGTTTTAAAAGCCTGGTATCATTTCCCAGAATCCAGGGTG